CAAACTATCGTATCAATAAACTCTTCTAATTGCATCTTTCTCTCTCTGTGAGTTTTTCAGATTGAAATGCCTTTAGTTGGCTTCACGATGCTAATAGGAAAGAGAAAGAATCTGCTAAGTTTGAAATGAACCTTTGGTGCAGCTCAGTTTTACATGACTTCATTCAGCTTCTGCTGTGTGCTCTGTCAACATTACCTCCTCAGCACACAGCCTCAGACTGACAGACCACTGACTGTGCAGAGACATGGCAGATGGATTTTAATTACATATAAAGCAGCAGAGGCAGAAATTGGGCAGTACGGGACCACGGTAAACACAGAAAAATGTTCTCAGTCATTCTTCACGCACCTGCAGCCATCATCTCAAACCATCATCATCATCATTCATAGCACGGAGCACATTTGCTCTGCAGGACACCCACTGAATATTAGATGTAGACACACGTCTGTAGTTATGGATCAGTGGATGATCCACAGTCTAGCATCCATTTCACTTTGTCACTTCAAGAATATTTACTTTTCGTGTAATTGTTCAGTTCTGCTCAGCTTTTTGGCTTCAGTATGGAGGGTCAGTTTGGGACAGGGTTCTGTTTGTTTAAAAAATTAGACATTTTACAGAAACTTAAGGGTGGCTCTGAAATAATGAGCCATTCTCTGAGGAATAACCAATAGTTTAATTCAATTTCCATTCAATAAGTTTATTTATATAGCACCAATTCACAACACATGTCATGGCACTTTCCAGTTCACCAGATCATCCAGTCAAATTGATTCAAAGTTTTCTATCTAAGGAAAACCAGTTAATTGCATCGACTCATTGACTCTTCAGCAATCCCTCACACTAAGCATGCTTGTTGTGACAGTGGAGAGGAAAAAAACCCTTTTAACAGGAAGAAACCTCCGGCAGCACCAGGCTCAGTGTGAGCAGCCATCTGCAGAGGCCAACTGGGGTTCAAGGAGACAGAAGCACTGTTTTCTGCTCCATCACTATTATAGGTCACAGAAAACAGTGTAGCACCTGGACTAAGCCTAGGGATAATCCTGGGAGAATATAGATGGTATTACTAGTTGCTTCTATGAGACACTCTGTTGCATAGATATAGAGTTAGGAGTTTAAAAAGCTCCTTTCCCACTCAACTTTGGGTTGTACCACATATAAAGTGCAGGCCATTGATTTATAGTCAGTAAAAAAATAACTATTTCTGAGGTAACATTTCTTCTGCACTAAGGCTCTTCTGTACAAGCCGCTCAGAATTTGTAGTTTTTGTTTAATTTATTTTTGAAACTTTCAAAGAAATGCCTGTGCAGATGTCCTTAAATCGGAGGCAACTGGACTTTCTCATCTTCAGTTTGCATCTAACTTGAAATGTGCTCAGGTAGACAGACAGGTGTTATGACTACAGACTGCTTTTTTATAGAAAAAGATTCCTGGGTGAATATGAGAACATTTTCAGAAAAATTGAGCTAAAGTCTGATTTTTCAGTTTTTGGACAAAGAGGACAGATCACTTAAAACAAGAGAGACATCTTTGCTTAAAGCAGGGCTGCCGAAATCTGGCCCTCGAGGGCCGCTGTCCTGCAGGTTTTTAGATATCTTTTCAGGCTTCAGCACAACTGATTTCCATTGAAAGCCAATTAACAGGCTGATGCAATCATCATAATCCCCTGTGCTGAAGCCTCTAAAACCTGCAGGACAGCGGCCCTTGAGGGCCGACTTTGGGCAGCCATGGAATAACAATGAAAGCAATCAGTGAACAGAGGAGAAGGATTGTGGATTTAGATCACAAGCAATCAAAATTTAGTCTAAGATCTCATACTGAAGAAGTTACTCAAGCGAACTCATATGATTTAAAATGCCAAACATATGACCCATACAGAAAAACCAGCTCCAAAAAACAGGAAAATGACGAGTGGATCATTGATTTGTATCTGGTAGCAAAATATAGTTAGATTTGATTTAGCTTAGATTAAATATTATTTTAATATCTCTTTTTTTATTTGTGGCTATACAATGAAGTAGATTTGTGTGATTTTTATATTTATTTATTCATTTCATATTTTTCTTTTTTGATATCATTTAAATCTTTAGAGAAATATAAATACATCTGTATTAAAATATTTAAAGTTTTGACTTAGCCTTTAACAGCAAGTACATTTGCCTTCACCTTCAGCACAAGACAACCATCTAATTTCTAAATAATTTAAGGATCAATATTTAAAATCAGCTGAAGGAGTTTGTGATATCTGAAATGAAAACATGGTCGTTCTTTTTGCTTTTGTTGGTTTTTCATCCTTGTTTTATCCTCAGTGGTAATTCTAGTTATTATTCCCTTATTTCTATTCTTTGTGTTTTCACAGAGAAACATTGTTTGAAATAGAGCAGCGGTGGTACGATTAGTGTATTCAGGGCATGCTCTCCTCTCTCTGTGGTAGTCCTGCAGCAGGACTCCACATCCGACGCTCTGACTGCTGCTGAGTGACATTTCTGTCCTTTTCAGCCATGCAGACAAACAAAGCACAGCGACTCCAGCAGCAAGAAAATCCATCTTCCCAGGACCACAAATGTTTCTTCTGCCTTCTTGACCTTTGCAGTGATTTTGTTATTTAGGCAGCAATCAGCTCCATGATTTCAACGTGTCTTTTTCCCTGTTTAAGCTGCAGCGCAGAGCCTTGCTTTAATTTCTTTGAGTTTTACTAGTGCATGAGGTCCATTTAGGCTGATGGTACCACAAAACCCCTGATGAAGCTAAAGGTCAAACTATCAGTCATGTTTGATTTGTATTTGACGCAACAATATTTATACACACAGATGCATTTTCAGTTCAACTCAGCTAATGTATGCTGTTCTTGCTTTCATGCTGCATGCTGTTTGAGTCAGCTGGTGGGTTAGATTTACATGTCTCACTCCTTTGCCACACGTACTGCTAAAAAGATTATTTTAACAACTGCTGGAGATTATTATTAAGTCAAACTAGGAAATAGATAAAAAAAATTGGATTTTAAGGCAGTACTTTTTTTCATTAAGTATTCCAGCCTGTACAGCAAAGTGAGTCACAGTACCTCAAATGTTTCTAGACTCTGATTTAACCAGATCTGTAAACTAATTCATAGCCTTTTACAGAACAAACCTCAAATTTTCCTGCATCCAAATTAAATGAAAATATGCAATCATTTTTATTTCATAAAGCTGAGTTTGGGTGAGGCTGCCCCCACCCCGGCCCCCACCGCCTCCTCTATCACTGGGCTCACACAAACAGAGTTTTTGCCCTGACCGTAACTTACCGTAGATTTTCCTGACTGGGACTCATCATGCAACAAGAATCTTGTAGTCTTTTTTTATTTTAAGACAAGCCTCATAATAAGGCTGCACTTTCTGCTACTTTCTAACTGAAAATCATTGAAAATCAAATATTTATTGCTGTTTATCAGTCAGAAATCTGGCAGAGGGGAGCCATGTCTTGAGAAGCCTTTGGCACAAGAATAAAGCCAGAAATGAAGTCAATCGAGTTATAGATGATAAAAGAGTGCAGGGCTTCATGAGACATTAGCATTCATGTTAGCAGCCTCAGCTTTCAGAAATCTTGGATCTTTAGTTGATCATCCAATACAATCCCTTCAATAATCTAAAAATAATTCACCAGCTGTTAAAATAAAACAAACAACTGAACTTTTTTTTTTTTCAAACCAACCCAAATGCATCACAGCAGACAATAACCCATGAGACTTTTCAGCAGAGACCACAAACTATTTACTTCACACATGTCTTGTTCAATTAGAGAAACAAGCACTTATCAGCTGCAGATCACAAAGGAAAACACTCACCGACAGCGATGATGTTGGCAGACAGGAAGTGGTTGCAGACAAAGCTGACAGTGCTCACAAAAGAGTCTTCCTCTGTTCCCAGGGTAGTCCCAGATTTCAGCGACAGGTTGGGAGAGTCGGCCACCATGGCCATTCTGGCTGCCATAGATTCCATAATGGCCGATGTACAGTGTGATTGACAGGCCTGTGATGCCGGAGGTCTAACAGAGTAACAAGGTTTTTTAACTGAAACAGCTGACCTCACACTCGAAAGATCCTGGCCCTGTCTGTGAACGATGTTGTCCAGTTAAAAAGTCAAATACTTATTCAGATCCTTACAAATACGCTTCTAAAGTTCTATGGAGTTTCAGGGAGAATGAGGAGACTGAGAAGGTATAGATTTTTTTTTTAAAAAGGGTACAAGGCAGATATTTTAAAAAAGGAATCTGCAGTTGCAGTCGTAGTCGTAGTAGCAGTTCTCAGATCAGGAGATATCCAAAGGTCTTTCAAAATATCTTGCACTGCTTTTAAAAAGGTCCATTGAAATGAACTGATGCTAGAAAATCAATTTCTTAAGAGTCTCTTCAGATCCTTGTTGATGTACTTCTTTCAGAAAACTGTCTTAGTCCATAACAGTGAGGTCTGGGACTTGATTTTACCTGCAGAAGAAAAGAAAAAACACACACACATGATGCACTTACTCTTATCAGTACAATTTTGCACATTTGTTCCCTTAACCCGATCTGAATTCCAAAAAATAAATGATACGGAAAAGGAGACATTTCTGTTGTGTTTTGTCATGTCTGTTTACCAAAGAGCAACACAGCTGTCTGAAAACTGAGTAAACCTCTAAAGTATATTGACTTGGTGATGCTTTCAGTTTTTCCCAAAATATTGGCTTCTCCAAACAAAAGCAATAAGTCTTGGCTGCCTTTTTATGCTTTAGAAAGTATTTGTTGCTACTCCATATCTAAAACTATGCAAGAACCATTTTTTGTTTGAAAAATGTCAAGTCTATGCAGGATTTTAAAGCCTCTATTTGTTTCCTGAATGTAAATTAATGGGATAAAATAGATTTGATGGTGTGTGACATTTCAAAGTGTTTAAGCAGATGGCACAGGACTTTTCATATTTCCTTTTTGTTTCCCTTTTTTCCTTTTATCTAAAAGGCTTCTTCAGCTCTTAACATATGTTAAACATGATCATTTTTACAACAATAATCACATAAATAAATCCATTAATGGGCAAGAGGGGATGTACTGAATACAGAATGTCACTGCCTCCATTCAGTTCAATGTTTAGGTTATTTAATGCTATGGTTCTTCAGAGCTAAATAGGTATTACATTTAAAAAATAGTAGTCAGTATCAATTGATGGATTCCTTTTAAATTGCAAGTCATTAGGCAGTGAAACGGAGCTTTCATGGACTGAAACTCCGTGGGTTGCCAAAGCTGCAGAAGTTTGTGGTTGTTATTTTGGGTTATTGACCCCAGGACAAATGGTTACGGCACACAATAATATACCTATGCCCAGAGTTATAATGGATGTAGTTTTATTCCGTTACAGTCACGACATTGGAGCTAAAACTTTTTTACAACATCAGTAACAGAGACTAAATATAGTTTTGTTGATGTCGTGAAACATGCTTAAAAAATTGGTTATCATTAATAAAAGATTTTTATGAGTTGGGAAAAGGTGATAACCACATCTAACATCAGTCATGATCACATCAATGAAGTTCAAACATTTTTTAACGATCAAACCCAAATATTTAGGTATTGGTTCTGATACATACAAAGAAAATTCAGTACAATTCTTACATACTAACAAGGTTCTAACAAGGTGAGAATCCAGAGATAATCATATATAATTAGACAAACATGTAGAAAAAAGACACATACAACTTTACATCTTATCTTGAGGCCTGGAAACGGTCTAAATTTCATCCAGGACATAAAGACCAAGACTGGAAATGCATCTTCAACTATCTTCCCCTCTCTACAACTTATCTTTACCCACCTTTCCTGCATTCCTCCTTCCAGAGAAGCCACCAACAAAAAGCTGAGTCTCAGACTCAAAGTTTCCTTTGAACAGCCGGGTATTACGATATAAGATCTACCATCCTGCTATGGAGAAATGTGTGTACTGGAGTGTGTGAATGATGTGTGGCGGGGTGTCAGCTAGGTTTGGCTAAATGTGGAGGGTTTTTTGCTGAACATGTTGGTAATCGTCTTACAGAGGTTGTCCGTCAGCATTCAGGTCTGGGCATGTTTCCTGCTTGAATACAACACATACACACAAACCCACTCTGCCTGGACACAGGATGGTATGTGTTCTGTGTGAGGATTTGGGCTAATGTTCTGTCAAATGTATTGATTAATCCCAGAGCAATTAATAGCTATACTTTTTTCAAATATTTATCTGACCTATATGTAGTGATGCATCTCAATAATCCAGGTAGAAAGAAAAAGAACATGAGCGGGTTGTTTGGAAGGTTTCCTCTTTGTTAAATATTTAGTCTCTTCCCCAAAAGACTTCTTCAATCCGAGGATTTACAGGTAAACTCCATATAAGCCAGTTTTTTAAACATCTTTAACATTTAGTTTCTCACTTTGAACTTGTAAAGCACCTTAAAACACTTTTGTTTTATGTTTTGTATCTCAACAAGAGCATTGCTCTTATTTTTCAGATTAGTTCATCGCTTTCCTGGTCTGATGTCGTCTTACATACTGATAAGGCATTAACATGCATGCTGACAATCAAAAGGATAGCCGAAACATAATTTTTAAGGTAACTTAGATTCAACTGATTTTGTTAGGAACATGTGCAGACCTATGCACTTCTGTCATCATACTCTGGACCTTGTGCTGATGCTTGGCATTGAGTGTGGAAAAAACAGTATTTCCTCATAACCCTATCCTGTTAGAACATTTCTTTAGTAAACTTTGAACTTAATCTAACCAAGTAATCTTTCCCTGGGGAAAAAAAAATCAAAGTCGATTTTTATCAAACTATTTTTTAGCAACTTTAAAAGAATCTGTTCCATTTAAATATTCTCAGTATCACAATACAACCTAGTAAGTTTAGGCAATGAAATTTCTACATCCTAATAATGATCTACTGTTTTTCCCTACTTTTTCGCACTTTTTAAAGCAGAGGTTCCAAAATGTTTTCACTTCTCACCCACAACATATTACCAGAATAGACTCACGACCCAACCTACTACTTAAACATACAAATCTTTCCTACTAATCAACAAACCATGGGAATTATAGTAATGCAAACAGCATCAACGGCTAATGTTATTGGTTTTGTCTACACTAAGCAATGCTTTTAGTCTCCTTAAGCACTAATGCACAACTATGCTTCACAATTATCAATTGTATTGTTTATTTGCATTGTTCTAATGCATTGGTCTATAAATCTACCAGTGATTGTTTTATCTCTGGAGGGTGGACCAGCATCTGAGGTAGTCATGCAATCTGAGCTAACTCTTTCAGAGTTAGCAAAACTATTGTCTTCATCTAAGCCTTCAACTTGTATGTTAGATCCAGTTCCA